ATCTCAGTGAAGATGTACTTAAAAATATATAGGAGAGTGGGACTTTTTCTATCAAACTGGCAGTTTAACCTGATCTTTCACCAGTGAAATCAATTTACTTGCTAAAAGATGTATTTTTTTTCCCTTTGGAATGTGCAAACTGCAGGGCATGTTAAAAAGAATAAGAAAAAATATTTTTTACATATGCAATTTATATGTTCTCTCTAATATCATTATTTAAACTACAGCATATACAAACTGAAATAAAAGTAGAAGCTATCAGACTTTCTTATTATTGTGATATATTTTGCTGTTTATGGAAAGACTTTTGTAGAGTAGTTTGTGAATGAAACAAGCAGAAAGTGAGTTAAACACAATCTTGCAAGGAATTGGGGTCTGCTTCTAAATGAGATAGAAAATTCAAAATAATTAACTGTCTCATGAGCATTCCACTATGTTTATTCTCCACTAGATATAAAATCATGCAATAATGAGATTTTTACTGATAATGTTATAGGACTTACTGGCTAGCTAATCTTTAGATAAAAATCTAATTTCTTCGCATTTAAATGTTTAATTCAGATGGTATTTTGGGTCATCCGGAATCATACACATTTAGAACACTGGTAAAATGATTTAATGTATATCCTTTACACCACAGATTCTGTGAATTGATAGATAAGTGCCAGTATGTAATTTAAAAAAAATGTGCTCCTCCATTTTGGCCATTTAGTAAATTGTACAAAATAGCTAATTAAATATTATGTCTCCAAATATAGTTTGAGCAGATGTAAAGTAAAAAATATTGCAGTGCTTGAATAGTAAATAGGAATAGTATTATGCCCATCTTGGAAGGAAGCATTGATTCTGTCAAGTTAGGGAAGAATTAATACCCAGGATGCCTCTTCACCACTAGAATAGATTGTTTATAGCCTGTCTTGGAACAGTTAAGAAAATATAGACATTCTTAGGCTTTAATTACCCAGGAGCTTGACCCTGTGAGGTGCTAATGACACACTGCTTCCAGTGAAGTCAGTAAGTGTTGGAGTGCCCAGTAACTTGTAAAATATAGGTGTAGTTTGCTGAGTACTTTTTTTTTGATTTTTTGAAAACTAATTTTAACAGCCTTTTTTTTTTTCTTATCCCTACTGCTAACTCCACATATACATGTTTGTGGGACATAATCTCTACTGCTAACTCTATACATATATGTTTGTGAGAAATATGTATGTAATTTATGCTTTCAGTAAGAAAACAGAGGTTCAGCTCATACACACAGTGCCTTTTAACTGCCAGTACTGGTTTTCCCTGTCTCTGTGGATCTTGTTTTACCTTCAGGCCTCACCTTTCTGCCTCGAAGGGCAACGTCTATCAGCTCTGCTGGGACAGAGCCCCCTGCAAGGCTGTGTCAGCAGAGGCAGGCTCACATTTTGGGTTTGGGCTGTCAGCAAGACGGATGGATGTGTAGCAATATATGAGTGACAAAGTACAGAAAACTGGTGTTGCAGGGGCAGGAACATAACCCTAGAAAAGTTCATCCTGTGTCATCAAAACCAGTCCCTGCCTGTTACAGACACTCAAGTACTATAATCCCTTCCCTAAACTGATTAAATTTCAGCTGAAGATTTTTAAATCTTTTCTTCTATTCATAAGGGAAGACTGTTTCAGAACCTCTCCTGACTAGAAGACTTCTGTGTTTCCAAGTTTACCAACTTTAATTCTTATATATATATATTTATCTCAAAGTACTTTCCTTCTCTTACTGTTTACCTCCCTGATACCTTTACAAAATACTATTATTTTTCTTCTTATTGTTTGTTTGTTTGTTTTAGGATGAAACAGGCACATTCTTATATAGCACCCTCTGGTGGTATAGATTATATACGTCAAAAATGATACCCCTGAAACATTAAGGGCTAAATAGGTGCACGGTCCTAGGTGAGGTCTCTCTGAGACTTTCCTTAAAACTCTTAAATTTCTCTTTTCTCTATCTTAAAACTATATTTAGCTTTCTCAGAGCTGTACTATAGACATAGTTCGTAGTCATCCTATGACTGAGTAGTAAGCACCGTCCTTGTTTCTCTGTTATTTCCAGCTGCTGAGCCTCCAGTTTCTGCTTGAAATTCACGTTATTTGTCCCAAATATTGTGATCTTGAGCTTCTAAGTACTTTATGTTTCTTCTCACGCTCAGTCCTGTAGCCCTAAATATCATCCAACTTGAGAAGCGTAGTTTTGACTCCTCTCTTGACTAACAACATATCTCAGTGTCTTTCTCAGATTAACAAACAATTTTGTGGTTAGTGCCAAATCTGAAGTCACACAGTTCCTAATGGGTGAAAGTTACTATATTGCCCTCATCTCAAAATATCTATTCCCCTGGCATAAAGAAGTACTGGCCTGCTCTGGTGTAGCTCTGCCTTTCATGCCTTGGTACACTTGACACTTACATTATTTTTAATTGCATTCTTCCTTCCAGTATTTGATGCAAGTCCCACATGCCACAGAGATCTGATAGGCCTGTACTTCACTCTAGCACTTTTGCTACTCTCTTTAAATTAAAAAGAATTAGTCATTTAAACCTGCCATTTAAAGTGCCGGTTCCTTCAGAATTTAGCTATATCAGGGTTGTCCACCCCATGATGTCACATCATTCAGCTTTTTGCTCCCACCTCAGTTGTACTCATTTCCATTTTCTCAGTCCTATGGGCTTTGAATCCCATGCAGCTTCAGCTGTATGGTAAAAGTCCTCCATGATGAGTTCTGGGATGAGGCTTTGTTTTGCTTTGGAGTCAATGCAAACCGATCTTCACTTGGAGCTTCTTGGACCACAAAAGACCCCCTGAATTTTCTTTTTTTATTTGTGTGTTTGTATTTGGCTGAAGATCTGCTTTTTGAACTAGCTTTTATTTTCCTTTTGCTTAAGTCTTTTCTCACCTTGATGTTACACACCTATCCGTACCTGCAACATGAGTCTTAATGTAAACTGAATTTAATTCACTTTCTCTAAAAGGATCTAAACTAATCAAAGTGCCTCTTGGTTCACCCCTACTGTCCTTATTTCTTATCAGTGCTACCTTCCAAGTAAAATCAGCATCTAGTGGCTCAATTCACCCTTGCCAGAAGGCCAACACATGGCTTTTGCTTAATTTAGATTCTGCTTAAATATTTTATCTTCCAATTTAGTGCTTAAGTGGTTTTACAGTGGTGCACAGACCTTATTATCTAATCTCTAGCTTAGATTTATCATCACACACAGACTGCAAATCTACCATTATTACTGGAGTGACGGAAGAAGGCAACTGCTTCACTTAAAAAGCGTAATAAAATGAGTAATGATAGGTTTTTCTTTTCCTTGCCTGACAGTCAGATGCTGTTCTGAACACTGTAGTGGTCAACTCAGATAAATATTTGTGGCAATTTGTCTAAAAGTGGGATGATTTTTATTACTAATATTTTGCTATAGAAGTTAAAATGCTTCAGATCAGGAAGATCCAAGTCATAGAGGTCATGTGGGAAAAAAAAAAGAAGTTCCTACAGTGAAGATGAAATAATTTCACCAGATAGAGAAATCTCTTTTTATCTCTATTGTATAACTGATCAGTAGCTAGCCAAATTAATTTTCAAGTGCTATAAGGAAAAGTTCACTCTGGGACAGGCATGTTAAAACACCAGGCATGCCAGGTGAGATTTTTAATTTCTTTGTTATTCTGAAATGTCATTCAAAGAACAGAAAGCTGGACAGACCAGGAAATTACCTGAGCATTTAGATGTGATTTAACACAGATTTAGCTGGCTGACTTCTTACTTTTTTTTTTCCAAATTACATTATGCAACACTAGTCACACTAGAAATTATAATTAAACTAAAAATGCCTATCCAGAGATGCATAGATCTAAGCCATGGTAACATGGTACCTTTCCTACATGGAGACTGAGGTGTTTGGTATTAAAGGCAATGTCCTTTTCTTGTAAATCTGGAGAATAACGATGCCTGGAAGCGCTTGCCTTTCTGCACGTGCACGAAGTGCTGGGGTCAGAGTCCTGCACGCCTGAGACAACTGCGTCCCGTTCTGGATATGACCCAGACACAACTACATATTTCAGATAACAACCAAATCTTATCTACCAAGAGCAGGCAAAAAGAGAGAGCAGGGGAAAGGGTGGAGAGAGAAAAAAAGTAGATCCCTTATGGTCTTCAGATAGCAATAGGACAGCAAGGGGAGTTGCAGGCAGGGACTAGATAACCTGAAAATCGCCAAGGCAAAACAAAACTACTCACTGCAGAAGTCTGCATGGAGTCTGTGTTAACACTTAGGGCGTCCGGAGTTGGTTTGGAGGGCAGGCAGTGGGGCACATGCAGGTGCACTTCCTTGAGGTCCGGGCGGAGAGGGCCACCACAGCCTCCACCGTCCCCATGAGCGCAGGTCCCCAGCTGGGTTGTCCCTGCCAAGGCAGTGGCTAGTGGGGCATCGGGGCATCTATCACCACAGAGTCACTGCGGGAGCCATTCGTGCCCGGTGGTGAATGTGCCTGGAAGTTCTTGCAATGCACTGAGACATTTGGGTTAGAGCTAACCAGCTGCAGAGTGAGCGCTGGCCTTGGAGCAGTGAATATCTCCTACTACAGCATGAAGACCAGGAGGACCATGACCCACCGCTCAGGGACGCCCAGGGCTTGCCATGGCGCTCTGGCAAGTTTGGGGCTTTCACCGTTAAGTTCCACAACCTCTGCCTTGTGCCCGTGGCAGGCGTGCAGCCGCGCTGCAGGACGTGCTCCCGTCTGGGCTCGCTTTTGTGTGGTGGAGGAGGCAGATCTGGACGCTGGAGGGAGCTGGTGCGTTTTGGGGTGCGGCAAGGGGAGCCCGGCCGTCTTCTGAGGGCGGCGAGATCCCTAACTGCTCTGTTATTCTGCATCTATTGATCTGCCTGAGCCTGGCGCTGCCGGCAGCGAGTGACCCTCCCTTCTCCGGCAGGAGCCTGACATGCTGCTCCCTCGCTCCTCCTCCTCCTGCTCCCGGATTCCTCAAGTTACAGAGAGAAATAAGGTAGCGGAGGGTATCGCGAAGGGAGCCTGACAGCTGCCAGCGTGCGCACACCTTCCCCGGGTGACATTCCCGCTGCCCGGGATCCCACCCTGCCCTCCTGAATGAAGCTGGGTGCCCTTCCAGCCAGCCTGCCAGGATGGGCCAGCGCTGCTGCAAGCTCTATCACTGCCTCCAGTGCCTGGACAAGACGGTACTTTGCCTCTTTTTATCCTTCAGCAAAGGGGCAGGGAGCTAGCCGTTCCCGTGCCTCGATCCGGGCTCCTGGCTCGAGCTAACGTAGGGAACGTGCAGCCCGGGGAGGCGGAGAGGGGAGCGATGTTCGGATTATTTGTCGCGTGACGGATTCTCCCGCACCGGGAGCAAATCTCACCCTTCCTCTCGCCCTCACTGCAGTGCTTACATAATTGTCTCCTGCAGTCTGAGTGTAAGAGTTGGATTTTCGTGGAACAATAAGGGACCACCGACATGCTCTGTGGTAGCAGCCGCCTTGATTTCTTGCTATGCATTTCATGCATTTTTAATAGACCTGTGGAGTGCAAGCTATAAAGGATCCCTGCGTGGAGTTTTAAAGTTCGAAGAGAGATTTTTTCAGGCTCTAGCTGCCCTAAGGTTTTACCTCGCTATTGTTCCTGCTTTCTGATGTATTGCAAATCTGATCAAGAAGTAAAACCAGGTGGAGCCACATGTGTTCTTGCATCAGGCTGAATCTAAAGCGAGCAAATTCCCAGATGCCGGAATGTCGTGTAACAAATGTCAGTGCAGAGGTAAGAACTGCAGCTACAGGTAGCTGGAGAGGAGCATGTGGGAGGGAATTTGTGTGACAATTTTAACACATAGCTTTTCATGCTATTCTTTTGGACACTTGCCTGGGTTTTAAGTAAATACAGAAGAGGGAGAGAATGAACATATGCATTTAATTTTCCTAATAGAAAATATCTTGGCAGAAATACATGCTCATGCAGTATATTTTGTTGGAGTTTGACTTTTTAAAGTATTCCTGTACTAGGTCTAATGAAAAGCTGTCAGTGTCTCCCACTTACCTAATAATGTGTTTAAATATAGCTCGAGGTATGCAGCTAATCACGTTAAGGAAAATGTATAGCTTAATGTAAAACTTGTTAAAATACAGTCCTGGGAGGATATCTAGGTGATCAGTTCTGCTTGTAAACTTTAACCTAAAGAGAATTGCAGGGGAGGATTACCTGCTATCCAGCATGATTGAAACAGCAGTGCTGAAACACCCCTTTTTGGAATAAAGACTGTAGATCATTTTGAACATCAGCTGCAATGGAATTTAACTATTTCTCCCACACGTTATCATCCAAAATATTCATAGGTGCAAGAGAACTCGCAATGTATAGGTTTTTCCAGAGCTAATATAAGGTCTTGCCCTGGGGAACTCTGAATAAAGCACAACAGTGACTAAGCACCATTTGCAGGCCAACTTCTTCTTCTTCTTCTTTTCTTTTTTTTTTTAAAGAACAGTTTGGAAGCCCTTGTGGAGAAAAGTTATTTGGAAAAAAAAATGGTTTTAATAAGTGCCACTGATTATCTGTACACAGTGCATATTTTTAGAGAGTATTTTAAAAGCTGGGCAATGTTCATGAAGATACTGTACATATGCGTGGGACTCAGTTTGTAACATTCTGGAGTCATGCTGATTGACAGGGAGGAGCGATGTGTTGGCCTGAGAAGGCAACATCGGGCTTCTGTATTTAATTCCTAGCTCCAGTTGACTCCCTGTACAGATCCTGGCAATTTTCTGACTTAATCTGGCCCATTTGTGAAGTCGACCTACTATCATTTGCCTATTGCAGGAAGGTATAATTAAGGGTATAATTAATTAGTATTTCTAATGAAGTAATATCTCTTAAGTGGTTTGCAGTTCTCCAAGGAAAGGTACTCTAAGGCAAACCTCAGCTCTGCTTCCCCACCCCACAACTATTCCTGGTCTGAAGTAAAATCCTGACCTGTCTTCCTAATGATACCTCCTTGAGAAGTCCAACTGTCAGCTGAAGCAAGATGCAACTAAACTTTTTCTCTTTCCCCAAGCCTTCTTTGCCGCTTCCCTTTTTAATCCATTTAGACAACATCAGCATCCTGGCTATTCTCAGGCCTGCATTGAATGTCATCTTTTACCAAGGTATTTTTCCAGGTCTCACACTCACTTATATCTAATCCTGCCTTTTTTTTTTTCTCTGAACCAGCTGCCTACATTATATCCACTGTTACTTAACTGGCTGAATTCCTCCTTCCTGCCTTCCTTTGCCTACCCACCTAACAACTTGCCAGTTTTCCTGGAGCTATTTGGACGTTGCACCAATATAAGTCATATCCCAGACTGTCCTTGGGGAGTTTTCATTTGAATAGGGAAAACATAAGTGCCATTTCTCAGTAACTGCTTTACTTGCTGAAATGCAGTCCATTGCTGAGTCTTTTATGGGGGAAATTTTGGGAGATCTGTATTTTATAATGCCAGTGATAAGAGAAAGAGTTTTTCTACCTGTTTTATTCAACAGAGGAATAGTTTAAGCACACAGCAAACATATAATTCTGCTTATTATATATATATGTATATATTTCTTTTTTTTTTCTGGTTGAGGAGATGGGAAACTGTATTTCAAATACAAGCCCTAACCACTGTGTTGTGTGGCACAGGTAAGAGGAGGAAGGTTTCCTTCCTCTCTATCATGAATAGCATTTTATTTTATAAAAAAAATTCAATATCAGTCATTTCTTGGGCTGAAGCCAATGGAAGTAAACCTTTCACACAGGTTTTCTAAGCAATATTTAAATTGCATCACTCATTAAAAATACCTGAATTGGAAATACTGCATCCTTGCATTTGCTTTATACAAAATACACTGTCCTGTTTTCATGTTTTGTCAAGAAAAAAAAATCTGAATCCAATCAAAGCATCTTTTCTCTCTTGAGTTTAACTGCCACAATGAAAAATCTGTGCAATCTTCTTGCAGTCTGTGTCCCCTTCACCCTCTGGAAACAGCTATGTCACTGCTGTGGCAGTTGATTTTTTTAAACCCAAGTTGAATTTGGCCCTCGGCCAGTCTCAGTGGGTCGATTCCAACTGGTGGCCAGCGAAGGGAGGCTTCAGAGCTCCTTTGAGATGTTCGTCCTATTAGTCACAAAACTGTTCGGAGGCTCTTTCTGCCTCCCCTGCCTTCTCTTTCAAATACTCTGTTGATATAAATATTAATGAATATTGATTAATTGAGTAGGGTATCACATTTATCTTTCTCTTTACACATTTGTTTTGGCAGACTCTTCCTTGTGTGCTTGTGAATTGTCCGGTTTTTTTTGATGTTTTGACATTGGGTCTATTTGAGTCTGAGCATTGGACTTGATAGCTTTACATTTTCTCATCAGATCCGGTTTTGCTGCATTGTAATGTTTGGTTTACATTCCCAATTCCCTGACTGTACTGGTATTGAAATGTTGGTTGTTTGTAGGATCACACTGACGGTAACAAGGAGAGGCTCTTTCATATCATATTAGTGTCAGGTTTACCCTGGTCCCAGGAATATGTGCAATCCAAACCTGTAATGTTACCCTGACAAAGCAGGTTATGGTAATAGGACATGTCAGGGATTTGAAAGTTCACTGCACATCCAGGAGACCATGAGGCTGATATGATGATTAGCTGAAACTGCACCTTGCCACTCTCCCGTAAGAGGAAACCAAGGACAAGTCATCAGGGAAAGGTTCTCAAATCAAGAGCTCTGGATCAGGACTTAGGACACTGGATTTTTGCGGTCTGGTTCTGCAAAACGACCCCCTGCAGAAGAGGGACGGCTTCAAAACTTGGCACCGAGTGCAATCCCCACATATCCAATTCCCAGGAAACCTGAACGCAAGGCTGAGAAGAGCACTTAGGGAGCGCCGGCTAAAATAAAATACAGTAAGAGAAGTATTGGCAGGGAAGATGCATGACTGCAAAGGCACATAAGCAGTGCCAGCTCCAGCTGCTCGAGGCAGCCCTGGAGGCTGTCCGCAAGATAGGGCATGCGTCATCTGAGATAGCATAAATATCAAAAGCAGTTGGTAATAATTCTTATGAGGCAGCACTTAATTAGCTGGGATTCCAAATTTTAATAACTTTATTTTTTTGATTCATTAGGATGCCATTTTTAACTTGCTTTTCACTTTCTTTGTGCAAGTAGTATGACAACCATCCCATTGAGTTGCGCATGGCGGTGGGTGTTGGCGATGATTTATGCTGAGCTCCGTTGCTTTAAATAGGCTTCGATCCAAACAGTGGGAGCTGGCGAAATGAGTGGGTGCTTCCCATCCGTGAGCACCATACCCAGTATATCCCTGTGCAGATGCCTTCAAGGGCACCAGTCCTGGCAATCTGTCCTGAGCGCTTCCTAAAACAGCTTCTCGAGTGCTTCCTAAAACAGCTTCATGGAGTTCATCAGACCGCATGGGCAGATGCAGGGATACGCTCCACGAGGGGAAACCTTGGCTCCCGTAAAACTGCTGCTTTGGAAATCCCTGTGAAGGGCTCTGTTTTGTAGCATATGGACCTGAGGATCTTTTTTTAAAAAATATATATTTTTTTTTTACTAGAAAACAAAACACAACAGCAACAACAACAACAACAACAAACAAACCCAGAACTTCATGTTGTGCAGTGCTTGATGCAGTTTGGCCAGGCCTGGGAACGCCATAACTGCGAGCTCATCAGCAGGGTTTGGACTGTTGGAGAAGCCAAGCTTTACATGTGCAAGTTTTCTTCTGACACAGTAAGAAAGCTGGTGCCATGGTCTGGTTCTCCTCTGGAACCAGAATCAGCTCTGCCAATTGCTCAGTTTGCAGCAAAATTTGCCAGAAAGCTTATTCCTTGGAACTGGTAGAAGTCATCCCAAAAGGACAGTGCGTAGATTATTACTTCATATTCCAGATGCTTTTAATTTCCTTGTATTACTAAAAATAAAGCAATTATTTAATGCCTAATCAAAATGGATATTAACTTCTTTTTAATAAAACTAAAAAGTTAATATGACGGTTAAGGGGAAGAGTAAAGACATTTAAATACATTTGCCCTTCAAAGGTTGGCACCTGTAGGCCAGGGGCAACTGGAGTGAGAGGAGAAATCAAGCCAGTGAAATAAATGTGCATTTCAGTTACCCGAGTCATTATCTAAGAGTGAGGGAATATTTAGAAATCTTTGTGAAACTGTCATTACTGCATGGCCTCAACTTGCCTGGCGCTGTGCATTGGATGAAACAAGTAAATGCTGTCCTTGCCTTTACACACCCTTTAAAGCAATATATAAATATAATACATATATATATATAAGTAGCACTGCACAGTTCAAGGCTGCTATAGGGCATAGAATGACCTAGTCTGGGGGCCCTTCTCCAAGAAACCATGGGTCACCTTTGCCCAGCTGGAGCATAGCTAAGAAAGTTGTCGGTATTACGTGTGTGTAGTTCATATGGGCACAAACTTTGAAAATAAGCTAAGAGCACACACACAGAGATGCATTTATTACCCTTTTTCTTTATGTCTGGGGTGGCACAACCACACGGCAACAGTGTCTTTTTGCCAGGAGAAGCAGCAAGGGTCAGGGGCAGAGTGTGCACCAGCAGAAGGCCTGTGGGAAGGAGATGCAAGCGCAGGTCAGCAAAGGAAGCAGGAAGACGTCGAGAGGTCTTCACTTCGTTTTATTATATCATTCTGTCTTTCAAAAAAAAGGATTTTTTCTCTAATATCTGTACATGCTTTGCTATATTTTTCATTCCTCAGAGACAAAAATTATATAAAGAAATCATTAGTCTCTAAAATCCTTTTCTTTTTTTGACATTCATTTTGTTAAGACAGAACTAATTTGTTATCCCATCTACCAACTGTCCTGCTGCAGAACTAATCCTTTTTGTGCCCTAGATTTTTATTAGCCTTGCTTGGTTGTTACTGAAAGATTTACCTTCTAGGAATCCTTTTAATTCCATTTGCTACTGCACCGCCTTTTCTCTTGAAAAAAAAAGGATTTTTTTTTGTGGTGCCTTTTAAAGATCTAAAGGTCTTTTCTAACTGGAAGCACACTTATAGCAGCCTGATCTAGTATTCCTAATCATCGGTGACCTGCCTGGCAGGAAACCTTTCTTTGTCTTCTTCCTAACATGATTCAGGATACAGTTCAATTTAAAATGGTTTTATGCTTGTAGCATTTATGCTGGAATTTATTGTACTAAAACAAAAACCAATATATTTTCCTGTTTTATTTTTTCATTTGCACAGTGCATATGAAATATCTGCCATCAAAGTCTTTCCATTTTAGTAATGGCACCTTAGTGTTGTTAACATAAATATGCTTTATTTTTCCTACATTCAGTTCATCTGTTTTAATTCCTTAAGTATTTTATGTTTCTTTCAAGACAGTTGAAAGGGGAGGGCTCTTGTCCTTTCCAGACAAGTTAAAACAGCAGAATAAATGTGGCAGTACAGACAGGACCAGCAGGCCATCAGTGGTGTCCTTATATGTATGGTAGGTCTACCGCGTGGAGAATAGTCTGAGTACAGTAAGATGCACTGTCTTACTTGAATATATGACATATGAATATAAACATTACTGTGTTTAGAGGTGGTTAAATGCATACAAACAAATCAATGAAAGTATTTTAAAAGATCTAATAAAACTATCTTGTATGTGTAGTCTTCCCATAAATGGTGCACAGACTGAACACAGAATGATGCAGAAATAAAAATGTCTTTTTAGACAGCGTATTCCGTGCATCCTGTGCACATGGCTTTACAAATATGCATGCATACAGAGAGGAGGTATTTGTTGACAATGAGTGCTGACTCCTAAACTTGATTTTAAAAATGAATGAGCTCATTATAATTCCCTTTTGCTTCCCCTTCTGCAAAATCGATTAGATTGGGCAATCAATCTAATCTGCCTTTTCAAATGAACACGTGAACTTGTTTTTGTGGGATAAACCTGGGAGCTATAACTATTTCTCCGTCTTTTTCTTTAAACAGAATGAAAGTGCCCTTGTGAAAGAAAAGGAGTTGTCGGTGGAGCTTGCAAACATCAGGGATGAAGTGGGTGAGTAGCCCAAGCAAAGCGATAACGAAAGTGCTTCTCTCACCTTACACAGAAGCCACTGTTCCCTTTGAGGTGGTCCTGGGGCACCTGTATAAACATGGCAACACACCTCAGAAGCCTGGTGTCAGGGGTGCTTGTGGCCTTGCAGGGAACAAGAATTTCTCCCTCTTTGCTGCTGTGGAGACAAGTTCCTCTCCGTACACACTGGAGCTAGTCGTGCATCGTCTTTCCTAGATGACCATTTCTGCATACACCTGTAGCTTCTGTTCTCAGAGACCATCCACATAAGCCACCACGAAGGAGAGAACAGTCGGATGAGCAGCACTTATGTGGTGCTCACACATTTTGTGGCTCAGCTGCAAAGTGCTGCACCCAGAGGCAAAAGCAGAGTTATTAGTATCTCTGGAGAGTTATTTATCCCAGGGCAAGTGACTGGTGAGCAGGAAGGAGGAGGACCCTGGTTAGTTGGACTAGATGCACCTCCTCTGCCTGCCTGGGGGACCCCAGGCACAGAGCCCCACACTTTGTGCCATGGGGCAGGGTGGAGGCCAGGCCAGCTGTGCACTGCATGAATACGGCCCCACGGAGAATGTGGGGGCACAGGGGCCCTCAAGGGACTGGCAGTGGTGGTTAGGGAACAGGCTAATGGGTTGCAAGACTGCTGTGGATGGGACATTCCTTAGGCAGGCCACATCCAAAGCTCTCTTCTCTCCCTCAAATATCTGTTTCTTATTTGCAAGGCCTACCAATTTCTATCAGGCTATTGGGATTTGCTAGTTTTCTGCAGAGAGAATGCAGCAGAGAGCAGAGGGTTGATCTGCTCTGGTGCTTTTGTGAGTGGAGGTGATGTGTGAAGGGAATAGCGGTGCAGTGACAGAGACCATGATCTCTGCCTCCGTATGAACCAGTTTTGTACAGCTGAAATGAGCACAGAGCACTGGAGCTTTTGCTGACGAACTTTGTCACTGGTGTAATTTACTGCCTGTTTTGGGTCACAGAGCAGCATATTCAGTAGTATGAAATCAAACTCTCCATGCACACTCTTGGACTCCTGGTAGGTATACTGGTAGCCTATGAGGTCTTTTGCAGTAGCAGTCTCCAAAAGTCACAAACAGAGCAGATTGTAGGACTACTCATGACCGCTCAGCACCAAATCCATGGCAAATGGATGAGTTCTGGCCCCACAGGCTCTGCCATCTGCCTCCTGTCACCTTGGGATGCCCACATGGCCCTTCTGCAGCCCCCTGTCTCTGAAGGGCCTAGGAACACTGAGCAGCCCAGCAGCTGCAAGAGCGAGAGGCCTGGTCCTCCCCAAGCACCTTGGGGTGCTACCTGGAGACCCACTTTCCCTTCCAGGGAGTTTTATTCAGTAAAACTATGCTGTTGCTCACTGTTTGTTTTTGTAAAGTTTATATGTATTTTAAGCAAACAGAAAACCAGCACAGCCATACTCCAGGGGAAGCTTGAGGCAATAGCACAGAACTCATAACTCATACTTTTACATTTTTTCTTTATTAAAAATCTTTGCAGGAAAGTTCTTCTTTCTTTTTCTTTTCTTTTTTTCCTTTTTTTGGTGTAGCTAGAAGGGATATTGGCAGGATATTCTCTAGTTGCGCACAAGAAGGTGAACAGAGGCAGACAGTTAAAAAATTAATCAGGATAATTTCTGATATATATCAGAAATATTTCTGTGTAGAGAGGTTGTGGAGTCTCCATCCTTGGAGATATTCCAAAGCTATCTGGACATGGTTCTGGGCAGGATGCTCCAGGTGACCCTGTGTCAGTAAGAGGGATGTACTCCACGATCTCCAGAGGTTCCTTCCAACATCGGCTGCTCTGTGGTTCTGTGATACGTCAGTAGATATGGAAGATGAATGTGTATGAATATGTTTTTTAGTGTGTGTTAGAAAATGCTGGAAAACCAGTTTTCTTTGACAGAAAGTAAAAACTTAAGATCTGTGAAACATCCTGTGTTTTAAATCTCAAGCAAGGTGAAATGGCAGAGGTCAAGTTCATGAGCGCAGCTCCCATCACTGCAGGCATTTCTAAAGCCGTGATGCAAGGCTGGGTTGTGGTGTGTAACTCACCTGCACGTGGGAAGGTTATGTTACTGTCATTATCCAATGGATGTGTATTGTACAATAAGGTACATACATGCATAATATACAAGTTTAATGCAGATATAGAATTAAAACGTCTTGTATTTGACAGGAGCAATTATAAATAACAAAATAGGGAAAATATACAGAGCCTAACAGTTCCCTATTTATTTTGATGACATTCAAGCAATGGTTCTGACTTGTCCCAGTCATTCTGAAAATTAGTTTCTCATTAATTTAAAATTAATCAGTTCAGTTAAACAGAAAGGGCGTTGGTCAGAAATTCCTGGTTTCTCATGTGTCATCATGTGAAATTTTCACTGATACTGAATGATTCAGTAAAACGAGGCTGGACTAGCCCGGGCTAATACAGGTATTTGGTTCAACATTCAGTTGTTTAGACGATACCTCTTATCCAAAATTATGATTCAGAAAGAGCAGTCAAGCACTGGAGCAGGCTGCCCAGGGAAGTGCTGGAGTCACCGCCTCTGGCAGTGTTCAAGAAACGTGTAGATGAGACGCTTAGGGACATGGTTTAACGGGTAGGGTGGTTATAGGTTTGCAGTTGAACTCTGTCTCAAAGGCCTTTTCCAGCCATAATGATTTTATGATTCTATGATTTAGGGTCTGAATATGTCTGATGTTGAAAGCATGTATGGCAGAATTCCTGGACACAAAGCAATAAAGCAGAAGTCAGAAAGTATTTTTAAGGAAAACTGGTAAATAAACCACTGCTAAATCAATGCCAGTGATGGAGCTTGCATGTGAGGATCCATCTCACATGACTTCAGGTAGCTTAGAGATGGATATCTGGTCTGCACTGAACCTCTGTGTTCTCCATCTAGTCCTTGAAGGGAGAGCAGCATGAACGAGAGTGACACAGGTGGGGTGAGTACATGCCCAGGAGTGGTGGTCTGATCATGCTCAGGTGCTGCTCTCCCCGTGAACTATGGGTGGTACCAAATCGCTAGTTTAGATGATGGGAATGTCCTGATGAAGATTTTAAAGATCCATATGTGAGCTGAGTGTCACAGCTCCCATCTCAGGCAATGGAGGTTTAGGCCGGAGCTCAGCTGCCCAAACGCTGGGGATGTCCCAGGGAACCCAAGACATCCACACATGGCTGGCAGGTGTAACACGACCGATGCAGACCTGCACCCTGTGAAGCCAGGCAGGGTCACCTTTATTTAGACAGGAGACTCGCAGCCGGTGAAGTCTAGAGCACTATTCAGTTTGAGCTCAGTTGCATTCAGGCCCATCTTGACCACCTCTCCACTGCCTGTGCTGGATGCGGAGGCACCTCTGCAAGGCTAGTTTATATAGATGTCTGAATCTGTGCTGGAATCTCCAAAGGGTTTGATTTAGCTGACAGCACATAGTGGCTTAAGGGATACCATTTTCCAGAACATCTATAGGAGGCTTGAAAATATACAAAGGTACCACAGAGAAGCCCGTATCTGTCAGCAGTGGCAGCCTCAAAGAATAGCCTAGAGTATCTCAGATCACACTTGTCACCACTGCTCCACATGCAAACGAATCCAGGGTTATCCACCTATCTCACCAAAACCTAGGTGAAGTGAAACTACCTGTTTCAGGAAGGGGCCTGTGAGTGAAGGCAAATGAATGGTTGTTCCTGAGCTGAGTGGCAGGAACACGCTGAGCGTGTATCCCTCACACAGCTGCCAAACAACACACCTCGACCCAAACCAGCGTGCAGTGAAATAGGAGAGCGCTTCTCCCTTCCCGGCCCTGAGGAGGAATGTGTGCAAGCCCAGCTCTGTAAATGCTGAGGGAAGTGTTTATTTTGTAAAATAGGACTTACTTACATTTATTTTTGCTAGAAATATCAAGACTAAACATTGCAAGCAATCATTTCACACGCAACATGCACATCTTTGCTAACTGTAAACATATGCACTTTGCTGCTGCAACACTAAGACTACGGCAGTTAGAGGGACGCATTTCTGGCTCAAAATTCGGAAGATTTTGATAACCTTCTGTTTACAGTTAAACTAGTGGAAATTAAAAGTTAGAATCATCCATTCCTTTATCAGTGACCTGTGAAATAGGTGGAAATGAAAAAATACCTAGATAAATGGAAGACAAACAGAAGTTGAGTTTAATATTTAGACTGTTTGAATCAACAAGCATTTGAAAGCCTGTGTGCCAGCTCCTTTGGGATGTGACTTTCAGGTGAAACAGAGTCCTTCGTTTAATGAAAAATTGTCCCAGGCAGGGGAGACTTAATCTGAACAAGTGCTCTGTGATTTGTCTGCGAATCTGTGGTCAGAAATAAGGCAAGAGGCCTTATTTCATGATTGCTTTTGAAGGAGTCCATTTCTCATGTCAAAACTGAGTGATTCATGCAGAAGCCCACAGTGACACCCATCCCCAGCTCCCACGAGAGTGACCACAAGGCTGTGGCTGACTTCATGCAGGGGGGTCAATCCATTAGTGACATTTCCCTTTCATTTGCCTTTGCAACCTGCCTTGAAGTGGTTTTGATCATGTCTGATGCACAGTCATGGGAAATCAGAGCAGCTCGGAGCTAGGGCAGTCAGGATGCAGTGTCGGGCACTCTCGTTTAACCTTGCAAAGGCAGAAAATGCCATCTTATGTCAGAGTCATTTCTAGTGCTTTAAGCAGCAACTGAGATATCTACAGAAAAGGGGAAAAAAAAGAAAAAAGGAAAAAAGCCACCTTAACTCTGTTCAATAGCAGCTGATAGCAGTTGTGCTTGGTTCCCTGAAGGTGGCTGTGGATACTCTAGTTGCTGCTAAGTCTTTCCTGGCATTTTGCATCCTCCTTGGGCTTTCAGTGATCATTGTGTCCCTCCTGCCTTGCCATGCACCTCCACTGAGAGCTCTGTATGTTCTCAGGATCCACTTGGGGAAACACTGAGCCCTTCAGATTCCTCGTACCCCCAGGGCTGCCAGCCCTGTGCTCCTGGCCGGATCAGAGGGACTTCATCTCTCAGCTGGGATACGGCTCAAGTTCTTAGTGAGGAAAGTAACTTTGCTAATCCAACATATGTGGGTTTCAGATAGCTCTGAGTGATGAACAGCAAGGCTGTTCATTGGCCAGAAAAAGTGAGGGTGCAATAGCAAGGTGCAATATGTAAGCTTGAAAATGCACTAAAAGTAGGATGGATTTGAAAAGGGTTTTTATTTGCTGATAGCTACTGTAAACTGTCTGCTTACTTAGTTTACTTAGACTCCATCTGTAGCTATGTAATGCTACTACCTAATAGGTCAGATTCTCACTTGGTATATAAATAAACAGCTCCACTAATTTCTTCCAGCTGAGAGACTAGCACATTTTACCCATGCTTTTGTGCAGTAACTGTTGCAAGAATAGCTAAATTCTGGTCTTATGGAATTTACTCCAAGTCAATATTGCGTGTACATATAACTTTTTTAGTGACTTCTTGGGCATGAGAGGAACATTGTTACAGTACCCACATCTCCGTGTTTAATAGCAAAATTTAGTGTTTTGCAGCAACTTTAACAATTCTTCTGTTCAGGCCTCTGCAGTCAGAGCTCTGCTGGAAGTATTTAAGTCTCATTCCAGCAAGCCAAGCTCTCCAGAGCTGTTACCTGCTCCCAACCAAAGCCCTTGTAAGTGGCTGCATAGGTGTCTCCTCCTGCTGCCCTTGTCCCAGTAGATTCAGACCCAAATTCCTACCTGCTGACTAAGAGAAATTCAATCTTTCCTCCCCTCCTCAGTCAATGGCCTCATTTCCCTGAGTTTGGGAGACAGTGGTGGAGAATGCGTCTCCTGATTAGAAGTGTTTTGTATTCAACACAGGGAGAATGTCCTGGGCAGTGTCCTCATTATTCTCCTCCTTTAGTGGTTTTGGGTAGATGGGGAACACACTTCCCCTGCTTTCCTCTTTGTTCCTTTCTGCACTTGCACTGAGGTTGATTTGAGAGACTTGAATACTTCTGTGTTTCAGGTTATGGATGGTTGTGCTCCAGATTGACTTTCTTTTAGTCAGATTATGTCGTTTCATTGCCCAGTCCTGGATGTCAGATAATCTCACTGGAGAGGTTGTAGATGGACAGGTTTCATTACAGCTCCAATTTAAAGCCTGAATGAGTTTCAATTCTACTGAAACTGGAGTTGCAAGTTTTGCGTCTGGTCTTCCTTCTCTATGATAGCTTTATACCAAGGAAAACTGGTACAGGACGTGGCACTCTATAGTCACTCAACAGCAAAAGCAGAAGAGTTTAGAGCTAGAATCCAAATCACTTAAGAGACAAGAAAATTCTGCTAAGGACCGTATAAATCCCAGATAGTCTGGTTCAGGTACAACACAGGTGGGAAAGCTTTCCATGTGCTGCTGCTGTAGGCTCACTGCTCCAGCTTCACTTCCTCTCTTTCAAGGGCATGAAGGAGGCACTGAGTCCATTTTAGTTCTCCAGAAAGCATTCATATTAGAACAGGTCTGCATTAGTGATATCTGTCTAGACATGCTGGGCAAGTCTGGATATTACTGCCCAATAAATGTGGAAACACAGAGCTTGAAACATAGTGAAAATAGCTACATGGGGGAAAGGAGGATTAATTTGAGTGCCTAGACTACCTGGTGGTAGTGGATACACCTAAGATCAACTGAGATCACAGTGGTAGGTACCTCCTGTGACCTATTGATACTATCTTGAAAAGATGAGTTCAGTCTGATGACACACAGAAAGAGTCAGGAAAGCACGTTTTTTTTTTTCCCCAAGTGCAATAAGCAAACATAATGTAGCAGCCATAGGATGAATGTGTTTTCGAAACATTCATACCAGAGAGGCACATGCAATTTGGAAGGCAAAGGAAGGATGAGTGATCAATATAGACAGTAAATTCAAAAGTAGGTAATTTTTCTAAGACATCCATAGGTCTAAATCAGACCTATGTAACAGTGCCATGAAAAAAAACATCTTTTTACTGTGTCATTCTGAATATAATTGTATGACGATTTTAATGATTTCTTACCTGTTAGATCTTTGAAAACAAGTAAATTCAATTCCTAAGTGCAGTATGGCTGACTTTTCCCAATGTGTATCAAACCTTCAATATCTGAATTGATTACAGCAGTTCTCCAGCAAAGTAGAGGGCTGAGGAGCTGTCTGCAACATTGCTGTACTGGGACCCAGGGAATGATATAGGGTAGGAATCAAGCTGGGTAATAGATTGAGCACCCTCGATGCAGTAAAACTATGGGGAGTTTTACTTCCTAAAATAAGTTCTAAATACACTTGTGAAGTCAGAGACATAATTACTGGGTTAGTTCAAAAGAACAAAAAATTCACAGCTTCTGATTGCCCTCAGGATCAGCCTTTCATCTGAGTTCTCTGAGTCCCTGAAGCACATAATATAGTGGTAAGAATGTAAAAATATGTTAAGCAAGTATGCATTGGTGGATTCAAGATCTTCTTCTTTATGGAGCTGGTGAGGGAGCCTGATCTGTGAGGCGAGAAGCTTCTAACAGATGGAAAATAGGATGCATGAGGTGCATGTCCTTTTCCCAGTCCGATGGGATGATTTGCACCCCTTGCATATCAACATGAGTCAGGATGCACCTCAAGAGCACATAAATCGTTTGCTTTCTTGGCAGGTAATGAAGTAGATGCATTGCCAAGACCTTATCTCCTTCTAGAGATAAGGAAAAAAATTGAATCCTAGCTGAAAGGCTTTTTGTCAAACGATTGTTTCTAATACCCAAGGCAAAGCAAAAACTCTGAAGACTTGATTTGGGAATCCAAGACTGCTCGTGAGGAGAGGACAACAGTCAGCCTTCAGGCCTATGGAGTTTTCTCCTTATTATATCACATCAGATCCCAGTTTTACCTGGGTTTTTGCAGGACTCTGTTTAAAAGAATGTGTATGCATGGGTGTTTGAGAGCAAGAGCAGGCTGTTGATGGCTACAGTTCCTAGCAGCTCCATCATCCTAATTCAGACATTTGCGCGCTCTGGCTGCACAGACTCTTGCTCCTAAAGAGTTCAGAGCGTGACGGCCTGGTCTTGTCTCCACAGCCCTCAACACGGCGCGATGTGAAAAGCTGCAGAGCGAGAAGGAGGAGCTGGAGAGGCGGTTCGAGGAGGAGGTGAGGAAGCTGCGCCGGCAGCAGCAGGAGCAGCTGCAGGCGCTGGAGCAGCGGCTGCAGGCGCAGTACGGCGCCGAGGTGGAGCGCTTGCAGGAGGAGCACCGGCTGCAGCTCGCGCGAGCCCACGCTCAGCACCAGGAGCAGGTCAGTCATACGCTGCTCCTCTGTGAAAAGCAGCTCATGTACATATTGAAAAAATTCGGGCAATCAGATACATTGACCGTCTCTAACACGAAGACACTGATAATAAACTGCTGACTGGAATAATAACTCCCAGAAGACAGAACACATCTACTGCATTTCCTCACTGTGATTTCCAGTATTATTTCTGCATAGTAGCACAGTATATTGCCCTGTATTTGCTTTACATGTCTCCAGATGTTTTGCCCATGCCACAGATATTAAGCTAAGCCCTGCTCCCTCCACACACTTTCTCCCTAGCCCCTCTATTCTCATCTCTTTAATCAAAACTATGTGTTTCACAAGCATATGCCCAGCACAAATAAGGCCACCATAACCCTGCTCATCGTTATTTCAGATGATAGTTAAAGGGAGGTAAGATAAAGTGATGGGGACAATGTCATACACAGCATAAATATCAAGCAGGCGATGCTGTCCAGGTTTTCGACTCCAGCTCATCTGTTTAGGCACTAGATATCTCTTAGACTGAAGGCACCACGTGTTTCCCCTTGCTTTGCTTTCTCTAAGTGGGTAGGAATGGTCTCACCTATGGCTATTTTGGTTCTATAGCTGGAGTGAATGGACCACAAGCACTGCTCACACGGGGGCTGAATGCCCTGCTGTGGGCTATGGCAAAGATCCCTGCAGCTGACCTTTATTCATGTTTCATATTGCACTCTGTGAATGCTGGAGGCCATTCTAATTTTTTCAGCAGTAGCAAACCTTATCCAGCTTCAACAACCATGATTCACCAAGGCATTTTTTCATGGTATGCAAGGGACAGTGATTTGTAAAAAGGAAAATGATAACCACTTACTGCCTGTACTAGATGTGCTGTAAAATACCCCTGGGATGGGAGTGCAAATGCAACCTGATATGTGTGCCAGCTGCCCAGTGCTGAATTTATCCTGCAATGCCCATGTCTGCCAGGGCTGGGGGAAACCCTCATCCTCACTAGCGGGTAGCTGGACAGGTCAAACGGGAGCTCAGCATCTCAGCTGGCCACCCCTAATGAAAACAGAAAGAAAGTAGGAAAGTATGGGGCTGGGTTGAACAGACCCCAGCAGTTGTTTATATGGGCTGCTCCGTAGCTTTCCCTCAAAAAGGGGGCTGTTGGCAACATCTGCATCCACCCCTGCTCTCCAAGACCCCTTGGAGAGTCTGCTCTCTTCTTGTTTGTTTTCTCTGCTGTCAATGGGCTTGTAACCTTCAACAGCTGATTCCAGTGAACGTCTTTGTTAAAGATGTTTCTCCTTCTTTCTTCTATGTAAGGTTTTGGGTTGATTCCTCTGTGGGGGGAATTTGAAGCATTCTCTCTGGATTTTATCCATTTTAATTGTCAGGCCTGTTAGATGTTATTGATTTGCAGCCTTGTAAAGTGCAGTACAAAAGCTCTGTGTGCCTAGGCTGTTTCATCCTGAACAAACTCATTTTTTTTTCTGTTTATGTGTTGTTCTTTAAAGATGCATTAGGAAGATGATGTATTTTTGTTTCAAAGGTTTTTACATTCTAAGCAAGTTTTTTTTTTAATATTTTTTTTTCTTATGAGCAGAGTCTGTATTGAGCCATGTCTTTTTGTTCTCCTTTCAGTTTACAAAAGGTGCTTTCCTTGCAAAGCCCCTCAGATTTCCTCCTTTAGCTTTCAATAGGGAAGAGAGGGGCTCTCAGAAGTGTGGGCTCTTGGTTTGGGTGTTTTTTTGTGGGGTTTTTTTGTGTTATTTTTTTTTCTCTTGGCCATGTCAGTGAGTCAGTTTGCCTAAACAAAAGAGGTGGCAATTCTAGCTGCAAACCTTGCCTCGCTTGGATCATCAGGCATTAAGAGTTTGCAGAAATTTGCTGCACAAGTCACCTTCTTGCTGCGAGAGTTAACTGATCTTTGAAGTGTTCCTGCAAGCTCCCAGGATCACGAGGATGGATGTCGCTTTGTTTTTTTCTCAGTTTTTCTCAGACTGATCATTGCAGGAATGGATTATATAGGTTGCACTAGTAGTAGTAAGTAAATATACTATCCTGGCAATTAGTGTATTTATGTGTTTCATGTTCTCATATGTTGTTAATTCTGTTAATCCACACACATGGACAATGACCTTGGTCTTTCTTTCTGTGGGGCAGACAGTTCTCCCTCCTTCCAGCCCTTTGGTTTGCTCCAGAACTGCTCAGTCCCGTAATTTCTGAAGCTAATTAAAATCTTCTACTGTGCTGCTTGGAAACTGCTCCTGTGTCCCTAGTTGCTTCGAGTTTGAGCCCGTCTTCTCAATTCGTTTTTCCTTCAGCATCTCATGACGAGTTTTAGTAAGTTTTTCCTACTTCACTGCATACTCATCCTGTGACCAATGTTTGTCCCCTTGTGGCAGGAGGTTGGCATAAGGCAGACTGAGAGCTTCTGGTTGGAAGCTTAACCGCCCCTCACCATCCCTGTCCTTCCTGGAGCAGGACTTGGCACTCAGAACAGCAGAATCATGGAATCACAGGTTGGAAGGGACCTTTGGAGATCATCTAGTCCAACCCCCACAGTTCAACCTCCCCACACACCCAGCCAGGCACAGCTCCTCCCAGCACTTGCAGCACTAGGTTTACTACTGCATTAGGAGAACTACATGTTTACCCATATGTGACTGCCTATGGCACACATTTCCAGCAGATTGATCAGGGCAGGTATTTAATAGTATTGCCCTGGTGTTGTTTTTGCAGGGATTTTTGACAGAAGAGCTTGGGAGATCTTTTTGTCAAGACATGCTGCTTCAAAGAAGGCAAAAAATATTGCAAGAAGAGACTCATTCTGTGAAGTTTTCAGTTTGGAGTTTCTGGAGTTTCTGGGGCTTTGGAGCTACCCAATTAGGTCTATGGAAAAATCAATAGAATTCCTCTCAAAAACTTTCTATTTCTTGATCTAAAAATTGAGACATTTTGGCATAAAATATTTAGTGGAAATTGAAAATTTGGGGGTCTGTTCTAACGTAGAAATAAGACATTGTTATAATGCTTCAGGAGTTGTTAAGAAATGTAATTGTTCTTCTCCAAACACCTCTGAATTTATTTTTTGATTTTTTTTTTGAAAGGAAACGGTATTCCCAAATAAACAGGAAGGGGATTTGATTTACCTTGTCACAGAATTAGTTCATTTTTCCCTGACTATTTCATTTCTAATGCATTGGAGCAAAGACACATAACCCATGAATTTAGAAGCCCATCTACTTGAGCTGTCCATCTGCATGGGGAGAATTACACCTTGTATTCAGGCAAGCAATGGTTAAAGGGTTTCACAAAACCCTTTTAACTGTGTATCCACACATCTGCTTTGCAAGTTGATCATACTACACTCTTGGGTTATGGTCATAATTTTTTCCTTTCACGTATTATTGTGCTAGTCACCTTCCAGTGCTTTATCAAATCAAAGTTGTTTCTTTGAAGATACAGTTGTCCCTTTGAAGGCTCATGTGCCTCTGAGGATAGGAGCATCCTCAGCTCTTTCAGTGCGGCAAGGCATGATGGCCAACCTCGTCACAAACAGATGAGGTGTGGCAATGCATCCCAATATTCCCTATTCTTGTAATTGGAGAACGAATTCCAAAGTCAAGGCTAAGATCCTGACTTGCCAGTATTTCTTGCTTGTGCTGTTTAGCTCTTACGAATGCATCCACTAACCTATGTAGTTTCTCCCACTAGAGAATCCCCTTGATTTTGTTCTATTAAACTTTGAAAATCTCACTTGAACTTTTTGTAGTCAAAAATAACTGTGGCATAGGGTTTAAGTGAGTTGAGTTGATAAAGGCTATAGAGTAAGTTAGTGGCAGAGTTGGAATTAGAGTCCAAAGGGATTGAATACAAGTGTCAAGCTGGCTATCTGCTCTGAAAAATTGCAGACAAGAGGTCACACTGGAAGTATAAAAAAAGTAATTTGGATTGTGGATATGAAAATCAAAAAATCCCTGGAGATCATTTGGAAACTGCAACATATTTAATTGGCTTTGTAGATAAATAACCTGCCAAGGATGGTGGCAGAGAAAGGAGACCGCTTCACCTATGAAGGGCACTGGAGTTGAGCCTAATCTTTCCTGTGGGGTGCTGCTTGGCTAATAAGCAATTAGAGCATGAATAAGGAGTTAAGCAAGGGTGACGTAAAGGACGTAACAGCGCTCAGGAGATATCAGCACACAGGCATCATAAAAAAAGACATAACACCCTGGGAAAAGCCTGGTGATAGCCCCACTCCTATTAGTAGCCCATTGAGTCATCTAGCCCCCCCCACTTCATGCAATATATCAGCAAACTGAGTTCTGCTCTGTTGAATGAAGAATTCTTCACCACTGAGTTGTCTCTCGTGTTCTCATGTTATTGGAAGATTGCAGATTCTGTGTTAAATGCCCATTTTTCATTCTAAGAGCAAGCCTTTTACAGTCTGATTGGAAATTTTGCTCATGTTAGGTAATCTAACAGATTACATTTGACAGCTTAATGCAGTGAAATAACCACTATTCCAGACAGGACGTGCTCAGCTGCAGCATCTTGCTTCCATAATTCAGCACAGCAGTGAATATAAAAGCTGTGTAAGTGACGTGACGCTTTGCAATGGTCTCTAGCTTAATTGTAAAAGAATAACTTTATGTTCTGCATTTCAGGATACTACAAGTGTTCGATGCAGGGAATAAGATCACTGTGATTATAAAAACTAGAAAAGCAAATCAGATAATCGATGTGTTACATTCAGAAACTTCTTTGAAGACTTGAAACTCTGGGGAACTGGAAATAGAATAGAAAAAGAAATAGAAAAAAATAGAAAAAGAAATAGAAATAGATTTTTTTGAAGTCTTTCTCCTTTAAAGTTCGTATTTTCAGAGCTGGCAGCCCAGATTCATTTCCTCTAGGATGACTACTAAATAAAGCAGAGATAGGGAGCAAGTGTGAGCCTTGGAACCCTGGTTATCTGAGCTGCTTAGTGGACACCTCACCTCCAGTCTTGCTTTTGGATCCCTTTCTGCAGGACAAATCCACCCTAGAAAGATTATTCCAAGTAGTGCAGAGATAGCCCAGCTGGGCCATTAGGCCTTGCTCCTGAGACTGTTTTTTAACAATCTGGACATTGCTGCTGTGAAAGGTGATGATGCTAGGGTAAGGTGGGGGCATCCAAGGGCACAAAGCTGAAAGATGGTTCTTCCAGCTTCCAGCTCCAGTCAGGACAAAGAGGAACCTGCTTCCTGTTGCACTGTATTTGTGTTGTGTTCAGCCCACACTTGAAGGCCTCTTTTAGCTATTTACAGGGCCAAGAAGGAATTGTAGTATTTGTTGTTGTTTTTTCTCTGATACATAAAACATTTTCCTTTCTGTGCACTACACGGATAGTTTGGGGCTAGGAAAGGGCCACTGGGCAGGATGCTCTGGAGCTTTTGGCAGTCGTGGAAAAACCTCTCAGCACCCTGGTCTGGGGGTCTTTGTTACATGCTCAGAATTAACTGAACAGAATTCAGTTATTGACAAAATTCAGAATTAAACACCAAATTTGAAGTCAGGGAGGAATTTCCATATATCAGACCAGCAGGGACCACAGTGGGGCTTCTACCTTCCTCATCACCTGTGGATCACTGCCTGCTCAGGAAGCCACTGGGAGAGGGTTTTCAAGGAGCAGGATGCCACTGGAGTCACTTCCCAGGGCCCTGCTAAAGGGATGTCACGCAACTGTGTTGTGTTATTTAACTCTGTCCAAGTCCCAGAAGCTAAGGCAGATCCATGTTGCAAATCAGGCTTTTAATCCTCAGAGCTCTTTTAGATCTCTGACCCTTTATATGTATTTGTTCTTTATCACCTGCCACCTATCAAAAATACATTCATGTGCAATATGTCAAGTGGACCTGAAAAGTTAAAGCACGCTTATAAGAATTACTTTATGTCTAATTGTCTTAGTGGCTTTCTGGCCACACTGTTTTCTTCATTTCCTCCGCATTAACCTAAGAACTCTCATATCTGCACTGAAAAAGATGCTGTCACCTCTTTCATCAATTAATTGGATGTTAACTTAAAATACGCCTTTCAGGAGGGCGTGGGAATTTGGCACGGATGACTTCGTAGAATGCTATTTTTCTACTAAGAGGGTGATAGGTCTCAATTCATTATACATGCCCACTGATAGTAATTTCAATGTTTCCCTAGAAATAAATATTTTACAAATATGAATAATGCATAGCCACTTTCTATGGAAGTTGATTCAAAAACTTACAATAAAGAATAGTTGCAGTAGCGTGGCAAGAAAAAAAAAAGGAACAAAAGAAACAAGATGGCTTGGAACTGCACGTGCCTATCTGATCATCAGCAATTTAGGTTGTTAATATCATTTAGATTAATGGAATGTTGTTTTTTTTTACATTTCATAAGTTGCTTCTTTGCTTAAGAACATTTTGGTCTTTTGCTTTCTTGGGTACTTCCTTCTTTTGCCATTAAGTTAAAGAGAAAAAATACGAGCAGTAGTGACCACACACTATCACTGCAGGTGTCATCTTATCCCTTTCATAATGAATTAACCTGGCTGATGTACTGAGTGTCGTGCTCGTTAGCTCCCTGTACTGTTTCCAGCCCACTGGAGCTCTCTAATGGTGGTTTGTCAGTGTGCCACAGCACGTCTAAACTTGTGTCCATGTCTCCATTTGTTGTCGTTGGACAGGTGGAAGATATCACAGCTACACACGAAGCTGCAATATTAGAGATAGAAAATAACCACACCGTTGCCATTGCAATACTGCAAGATGAGCATGACCGCAAACTTAAAGGTAACCCAGAGGCAACTCAATGCTCATAAAGACATTCCAGACCAGAAACTCTCGTCATGGTGAGGCTTTGTAAGCGTGGAGCTTCTTCCTTTAGAGATGATACTGAAATTTGTGTTGGTCTATGTGCTTTCATGCTAGGTGGAACACTAGGTGCATTGGGGCTGTAGGGCTATGGGGGAGCTGTATGCGATGTATACAATGTTTAATATGCATTCCAGGGTGTTTAAGGAATCTTTGGGGAAAAGATAAAGTTTTCTCCATGAATCATTAAATACAAAATGAAAATTTCACCTCACTTCAATGATATGCTTCTCCCAGGAGACCATGTGCCTAGTCCTCAGGTGCTCAGGAGGCTAGAATGGATCAAATGTCTCTGAATGTAGGCGTTTGAAAGCCTGAAAACAGAACTCATCATCTTCATTAATTATAGCCTGGTGGTGCCAGGCAGAGCCACACACAGGTGTGACAGATCTGCACCCTGGCAGTGTGAGCCATACTTTGTCTTACAGTTTTCCATGGGATTTGATGCAAGAGCCAGAGCTGTGTTCTCCCCACCACTTAGAATCTAATCGAGGTCTTTGCACATGGCTTAGCTGACATTTAATGATCATCTGTAAATTCACTTTCTTTTTATTACTATTCACATGGGGTCTCATTTTTAAATAATTCTAGTAGGCTTTCATACAACATTCCCCAAATTGAGTCAGAGTGCTTAGTTATACACTATATCTTTTAGAAGCACAGTCTAGAGCACAACATTAGCTGCAAACAGCCTGTTCCCCTCTCCACTAGGTTGAGATGGTATATATAGCACCATTTATACATTAGCACGCATATATTTTGGAAAATAAAAAGCTATTCCTTGCTTGAGGATATAATCACTTGTCATTTTTTGTTAATATTTTCTGATGATAAAACTTAACGGTTGTTATCGAGGCTTTTGTGGCTGGAGTACGTGCTCTCTGGTGCGGGTATGAAATGCCCTCCTGTGCATGGAAATGGCATTGCAGCAACTGCTTTGCTGCTGAGCTGTGCAGGGCCACCGCAGAGGCTGGATGAGCATTAGTAGTGCTGTCAGTGGTGCAATTATTAGGCAGTGGTTAGAGGGCAAAACTTCATTTTGGGACAAAGACATAGAAAATAGGGTATCCGTGTCCTTAAAAGTTGCATGCCACTATACTGAATGAGTTTCATGTCACTGGTTCTGAGGTTAAGACTTATTCCATTTTGATTATTAAACTTCTAGTTATTAGCAAGTGTAGGGTGGTATAATCTAGTAGTAAAGTGTGTAATTCGTTAATAGAAGTTTAGGACTTTCCTTCTTTAGGGTCTGGCAGCCTCATTAATTTAATAAGCTTTGCCAGTCATGTCACAGATCCTGGAGGAGAACTAACTTTCACATTTTTGCATGTGAATTACTATGCCTTATTCAATGTCCTCAAAGAGATTACAATACAAACTTATAAATATATCCACTGATTTCCAAATCCTTGGTTTGGAGACTACCACCTTGAAATGGGGAATCACCCATTTTCAGCCTGGACTTCTTAGGAGCTGGGATTCCTGAGCAGTTCTGAAAAATGAGGTGTTGAACACAGGTGCCTGAAATCAGTGAAAGCTTTGGAAATCTTGAACCTCAAGACAGCCTTCCCAAAGCCCTCCAGATTGCTACTTTTAGGGCAACCTCCCTGCCCTAAAACAGCTTTCTGAATATGCTTACGACCTCTGGGCTCAGAACCCGGCTTGCTGGACTTCACATAGCGATGTCATGTCTGTGTATTTTCCCTAGAACTGCTGTCTGCTCATGACCTGGAAAAGAAAGAATTAGGAGAGACTTTTGAAAAACTGCGGCTGTCACTCCAGGTCAGTTATTTCATTACTTCACACGTCCTAACGATGCTTACCGAGCAGCTCACCACGGTACAGGCAGAGGGTGCGGGTCCAGCGCAGCAGTAAGTCGCACTGCTGCTTCTCCCTGCTCCCCTGCTTCCCAGCAGCTATACAGCAAGCAGACCTCTGTGCCAGGGATACTGCTGCTTCTCTAATTGACTCCGGTCCTTCAATGTCCAAACTGGGATCTGTCAGCAAAGATGTCTGCTCAGGTGATTTCCCCACAGATGGTTTAGCAAAATGCTGTCTATGTCTGAAGGAGATCAGAGGGCAAGCCTAAAGCGGGGAGAACACAGCTAGAGAGCAAAAAGTGCTTTTGACCCTGCTGACTGCTGGCCTAATACTGAAGTCAAGAGAAGCTAACTGGCTTTTCCCTCTGCACAGCCCGTGACATCCTCGTGCAGTTGTCCCTGGGGTATCTGCTGCATCTCCTCTGAAGTGCTCATCTATCACCACATGGTCTTGCGTCTGTGCTGTATTTTCCCTCTGTGGGACAGACCCAGCCAGCATTCTTCTCTCTGTGGATCACAGAGGGAGTTTAGATGTAATCATCTCAATTTCACCCAGTTTATATCTAGATAAATCACCCATCTCAAATACAGATATCAAAAGTGAAGTGACACGAATCCCAAGCCTGATGGGCCACCACGTGCAACAGCCCCTCTGTCCCAAGGACCTGGGTGCTCTGCCCCATGCCCTGGCAGACCTCATGTCACAAATAGCACCTTGCAGTGATGGTTAAGGCACGTTCAGCTCCCCTGCTGCTTCCACTGTTGGATTGACTTGCATGGATGTAACAACAGTGATAACAGGATGGTGCTGCTTTGATTTGTCCTCCAGGACCAGGTGGACACCCTCACCTTCCAGAACCAGTCACTTAAGGACAAAGCGAAGCGATTTGAAGAGGCTTTGAAGAAAAACACTGAGGAACAACTGGAGGTAGATGGCAACTCTAGTTATGAAGATACATGCTCTCAGCATGGCTTACTGTGCTAGGGGATGATTAATGTTTGGGAGCCTTATCCCAAGGGCTGAGTGAGACAGGCCCAAGCCAGGACCAGAAATCTTGAGTCTCTGTAAGAGTGAGAAATCTTGGGCCTGAATAAAAGGTCTCTCAGTCAATACTGTGCAATTATTCGCTATTTTCTGAATTCAATTCCTTCTCCATATCCTCACATCTAGCATCTGTGGCTGTCTCCTGCACATGAACACTGTCTGGTATCTCCTATTTTTCTTTCTTCTTTTCCATTCTTTCTCTTCTCTCTCTCCTTTTTTTTTTTTGTCTTTCCATATTTGTGTTTCTTTTTTTGTGTCCCGTGAGTCAACTTATTTGATGTCCTCTCTATTCCCTCATTTTTTTCTGGCCTATCATAGGAAATATTTATTTGACTACTGTGTATTGGGGACATGCTATTGCAATACCATTATTTATCTGTAATGAAATAATCCTGAAATGAGCCTCCAAAAAAAGCTGTCTTTTGGCTTGGGTCATTTTAGTGGTACTGTTCACAGTGCAGCTGTATCAATGTGACAGAGAGGACAGTGAACGGAAATTGGGGGGTGAGTGTCCGGAGGCTCAGTAGTTTTTAGGTGGGAGAACTTCTGAGGAAATGAGTGCAAACATCAGAAACTGTCTTGGCCACAGGAAACAGTTAGAATCAACCTTCCTTCCACCCTTACTGCAGTATTTAATTTACCTGAAAGGACAAATTCTGCTGTGTCACAGTGATGTAAATGCCAAGTCCTGCCAGATACTTCAATGGGGCAAGTTACACTGTCAGAAATCCAAAATAGTTTGAGTCAGTGGTGATATTTAATCAGTATAATGCAGAGCGCAGCTTTCACCCAAGAACCCTCGCATCACCTACATCCAAAACTTCTGAGGAGAGGAGAGGGTTATCTTGCTGATAGGAATCACTGCTCTTCTCACCAGGTTCTGGTCTTTGTTAACAGGTCAACATCTGTGTGAGGTGGTCATGCAGAACCGGCAAATCACTTTTGTTTTCATCATCAGCCACCTGGCTTTCCTAAATATTGTGTTTGCGCTCTTCTCAAGCCTAAATCTCTGCTCAGTCATAAAACACCTCATGTAGCTCCCAAGCTCTGAGCCAGGATGAGGTTGCTGAGCAACATGGCATGCATCCTGCTAGCCATGAGGTTGGTCAACAGAGAAGTACCATAAAACTAGCTACCAAGTTAGAGAGATGATAGGCTAGCAGGGACTATCGGGATCACAGCGGGCTGGGAGCCCAAGTCCAGCTGGCATAGCAATAAGACTCCTAAACCATTGGTAGATGGGGGGAATTTCATTTTGTTGTCAAAGATATAGTTATGGCTAACAAATGCCTTGATCTCTGACATTTTCCCTAGATTGCACTAGCTCCATATCAGCACTTGGAAGAAGATATGAATAGCTTAAAACAAGTTTTGGAAATGAAGAACCATCTGATTCACCAACAGGAGAAGAGGATTATGGAGCTAGAAAAATTGGTGAGTTGTCATGATTCCTCCAGAGGAGCATCACAGAGATGTAAAAAGTAAAACTGAGTTTACTGCAGATTACTTTAAAAGGGGTGAGATAAAGATGAGATTGTGAAAGACACAGCAAAAGGGTTTCATAAAACACTATATATTGTGTTGTAGCACAGCCAGCTCACACAGCTTCTTATACTACAACATGCCTCATCTTTTCACTCAGAAACTGGCATCTTTTCTGATCCCTTCACCCACCCTTGATTTCTCACACATCTGTTTCTTTTCTATGTGAATGAAAAGCTCAGCCTGTGAATTAGACAGTGAGGTAGCTGGGTGGGAAGTATGAGAAGGGAGAACCTGATGGCACTGCACAGGACATAATGTTGTACACCAGCCATCACTGTATTCCCCTACTAGAGCCTGCCCACTATTTAGGGCTGGGAATAGAACCTTTTCCACTACTTCCCCTGTGTCCTCATCCTTTGCTTGTGTGGGCACCTAGCAAAGGATTCCCCAGGTAACTATTAATTTCATTTTTATTGGAAATAGGATTTGCTTTGTGAGGCATAACCTAGAACGGCAGTCAGTGTATAGGGTGGTGACAGGATAAGGCATTACCTCAGCCAGGAGCGGGGACAGCTGGTTCAGCACAACACTCAGCAAGATTTGTTTCCATTTACAGGGAAATCTGAGAACTCAGTTGATTATTCTGCTGAACAGATGCTTGAGTAAATGAATATAAAGAAAAATGTCGCTTTACAACTGAAGCTTGTTAACTGTGCTCTTTCTAACACGCTGCTCCTGGAGATAAGCCAACACCTCAAAACATGCACTGTTATACAAAAAAAAAAAAGCATCAATTGCTTACATGGTTCCTGGTCATTTAGATATATTTGCAAATTAACCATATATGATCACACAGTCCTGCTCCTGCCCTTTATCACAGCAAAACTTTAGTTCTGCTGTGGTCTAATGGGACAACTGCTTTTGGTTTAAAGATCAATTTTATAAGTGCTTTAACATCTAAAGGGTACATCCAATTGCTCTGAGATCTGGTGTGCCTCATGAACAATCAGGATGGGATTTCAAATACAGGGTAAAGTGGGTCCTGAAAATACAGTGTGTGAAAGAAGCAGGTTTTGAAAAGGTTGATAGTCAGTCAGAATTGTCCAGCATGTTTGCATAGATCAGCTTGCCCAGAAGAACCTCAGCTACCCACCATTAGGAAAAACTTGAAACCTTTTTTTTTTTTTGGATATAATTTTGGATGTCAGTACTGGTTAGAGCCTAATACTCATGAGGTGAGGCAATTACAGCAACAGAAAGGAACAGCTGTTGGGGGAAAGGGTTAGGTGTAGGTGAAAGGAGTCATAAAGGGTATTGGACAAGGGAACTTAGTTGTTTGTCCCCTCTGGTCTGGGCAGTGATTTGGGTGACCTCGTCCTTCTGGGGATGTAGCAGCCAACTCTGATGCTTTGCCCTGTGCTCTTCCTGAAAGGTCCTGAGACCCTCTCCTTGCTCCTATGTCTGAGCAGAGACTGAAAAGAAGGCAAAACAGGGACTGCAGGGGTTTGGCCCAGGCCGAGGACTCCAGGACATAGTGGGGATGTCCAGACTTGTGGGCAGGGAGGCACTGCTGAAGCGGGGCACATATTGGCCATGTGGCCAGCAGCACAGGACACTGAGGCCTGGCTGCTTACATGCTTCACGAGGCTGAAAAGGGGCTGGGAAATGAAGGTGACAGGGGAAGGGTGGAATAAGTTGAGAGTTGTGGTGGAAAGGGAAGGTAACACACAGATATCCTCGCATGTTTCCTGATAATGTAACCACTACTTAATAAAACCATAGAGGTTAAGGGAGTAGGGGAGGTAACTTATGATATCTCTCTCTGGCATATTGTCTTGGAGCACTGCAAGCTGCGGTCATCCTTTACAGTTAGCCACGTTGGCTGAAAATGACTGCTGAAAACTGATGTCTCCACTGTAAAGTGTGAGTTATTGCTAACTCCTGTGGATAGTATTTCAAATTTTTATTAAAGGATGGGAAATTCAGTAACCAAAAATGTTGCTCACCTGGAAATAAGGCTGCCCTGTCATATCTTCTTTAATTCCAAAAATGTTGAATCAGTAGAATTCAAACTGCTGGAAAGCCAAGAACAAAGGAAATAGATAAAGTATGTCAGGTTCAAAACTTCCAAAAAGCAGGGCATATGAGACTGTGGTTCATGCCTATGAATGTCTTAGTCATGTTTTAATATACTTCTATTGACAGTGTCAGACTCTGCCCTTGAACTCTACTGAATAAAAGTTACTTACAGTTGGACATAATTAATTTCACCTAATTGTGACTTAAAGGAAGTTAAGTGTCCAATTTAAGCTGACATTGTCAGAGTGGAGCCGCTCACCTCAAGCTAAGAGAGAGATCTAAGACTGCAGAAGTGTCGTGGGCAGCTAGCTAAGGTTAGGGGTTGAACCACAGCTGAGACCAGGTGAGATGAATGCACATGAAGCCACCTGAACTCTTCTTTCATCACTTCCTCATCAGACTGTGTCCTTGGTGTGGTGAAATTCCTGTATGTGCCAGAGGCTACATAGCTGAGCTGAGGCACTTGGAGGCTCTCAAGGTCCACCTTTTCCCACACCTGAGGAGGAGGAGGAAGAGAGATTCATAGAGTAACAGTTCTCCCAAGCAGCTGCCTCTCTTGCTCAACCTGACCACACATGGCCTAGCAATTGCAGCTGGCTGCATGCAGCACATCTCCACTGCTTCTGCTGACAAGAGGGGGCAAAGCTAAGTGCAAATGGGCATAGAAGTTGGCTGTCTTCCCCAGTTTTCAGAAACTGGGATCTGGCATACCTTGATGCTTGCTTCTTTATCTCCAGAGGCTTGAGTGTCATAAGTGATGACGTTTGGTAAGGCTGAGAGCAATGGATGGTAATTGCAACTCTAGAGGCACAACTCTCCTGCTTAAAGGTGTGGGGCCACCAAAGGGGAAGATGTTTTATTCACATAGGTCAAGATAAGACTCTCCTCCTATTCAGTTTTAAATGAGGTCTAATTGAGCTGTGTCTCCCTTCAAGGCTGTGCTGATGACTCCACCAAAATGATGTGGTGAGAGTCAGACCTCTAACACTTGCACAGCTGCAGTCAAAATGACCAACTCCATCTTTCAATGAATTTCAGAAGATACTATAGGAACAAATGTACTCCTTTCCTAGGATAAAGAACAAATCCTTTTGAATCAGGTGTTGAGACTTCTTCAGGCTTAACACAAGCTTTTTTTTGTTGCAGGCTGAAAAAAATTTAATCCTGGAAGAAAAAATCCAGGTGCTGCAACAGCAGAATGAAGACCTCAGAGTCAGAATTGATCAAAATACCGTCGTAACAAGGTTTGTGATGATATTTGTAACCTGTCTGAGCGTGACAGGACACTGTAAGTTATAACCACATGAGGCTTACATTTAGTTCAGAAGGTAAAAAAAAAAAACTAAGTGTACTTCCTCCTGGAAGCCTACTGATATCCCCATTGCTTATTTTATTAACAAAGAACTTTTATAATAGAATCTTCTTACTTTAACATGAGGAAGGCTGCAGAGCTGTGTGAAATTATTTTGAAGATTTTGACATGCTGCTGAGATCAAAATCCCCAGTTGCTTCTGAGTCCACTGTCAGTGTTGTGAAACTCTTGGGTCAGGTAGCAAGCAGTGGAAAAGAGGTAATTTCAGGGGCAAGATCCTGACAGTGCCTCTGTCATCCACGCAGGATATGCTTTGGGATTGTGTTGATGATGTTGGGGGGTTTTTTTGGTTTTTGTTTTTTAAAAAAATTGCACTGGATGATAGCCTGACAAGGCTGAGCCAGAAAGTTTATAGCCAGTTTATAGAAGACAAGAGACCACAGTTGCAATCAGGCAGAGAGGAGATATCAAGGGAAGATGACAGAGCTGAAACTTGTTTCAGCACACCAGCTGCCTACTCTTTTCAATTTTTACCAAAAATGATGCCATTTGCCTAAAATATGATTTATTTCTTAATTTAATGTCTCATCTCTGCTTTCAATTTAACTTTTTCTTTCTGCTTACTCCTTTAATAATGATTTAGCCTTAAAAAGAAACAGTTATCCTACATGTAGATGTATAAAAAGGCAGTGTTGCTTGTACTAACATTCAGGGTAGCATAAGGGTTATGTTTCATCTTACCTAATCTTAAATATCTCTCTGAAATAATAGAATCATAGAATCATTATGGCTGAAAAAGACATTCAAGATCATTGAGGCCAACTGCAAACCCATCCCCAGCATGTCCCTAAGTGTCTCATCTGTGCACATATGACTGAGCTGGTTATGTACATCCTTTCTGTGTCGGCGTTTGGCATCAGTATTCCAAAACTGTCAGTCAGAAGCATAAATACTCCATCCTAACCCAAGATTTCTAACCATAGCTAAGGACAGTCTCCAAGGAGGGGAGAGCAGCCCTGTAGGCACTGTCTTTGAACTCGGGATCTCCACAGATCTCCTGGCTGGGCTTCTCCCAGTGACTTTACTAAATCACTTGTTTGCTGGAGGTTTCAAATTCTCTCTCCCACTAAAGTATCATCTCTTTGGCCCTTCATGGTGAGGTTGTCTGAGAAAAGCATTTTCTCTAATCAGCAGCACCCCCAGAGATGGCGATGACCTGTCAGCGATTGGTCTCCTGTGACCTCCTGGTTCTCATAGCCCTGCTGCCTCCTTACATCTAGATCATTTTGGGAAGATTTTAACATGAGTCATGGTCAAGGCTCAAGCATCTACCCCAGCTCACTAGGTCATCACTGTTCCCCTGCGCATCTCTAGGATATTATGGTTGAGGTTGCTGCTGTGATTTGCCTTGGCTGCTTAACTTATCTGGTGGCTGAGACAGGGACAGTGACTGGTAATAATTCTACAGTGCTGGGGATTAGGGATTTCCCAGATAGGTTAGAGTGTCTCAGTGGAAGATACAAAATTTGCTTTTACATAGCCTGTCTTCTGTCTTTTCCCCGAACGATGAGGGGGAGTTGAATGGCCAAGTGCACCTTTTATAACCCATTGTGTTGTGTCTGTCCATCTCTCTGTGCATGGTGCAGCAGAGGCAGACATCTCTCCGAGTTGCCCCCCTGTCACGCAGGTACCCTGCAGCCTGCCTCTGCCAGCAAATTCCAGTGTATTTTAGTGCTAAAATGTCCCCTACGTGAGCCTCTGCAGAGTCCACAGTGGTAATGGACATCATGCCATGCATTCAGCAAGCAGCATTAAATGCATAGGCTGCTGGACTCGGAGGGCTGATGTCCAGATTTGCTCCCTGTCCATGCCGTACCTTCAAAAGAAGAGACCTGGCCCTGTCACGAGTGCTCAGAGGGCCATGCTGATGTGAAGAGCCTATTGGCAAAGCCCAAACAAGCTCTTACCAGCTCTGAGAGACCATCACAGGTTCAGTACTGGCACCATATATGCTTCTTTTTTTTTCTCAGCACATGCTGATTGGAAAAGGGGGTAGCTGGGCTCTGTGCATAATTTTTATGGTGTGTCTTGCTAGATGCTGCAAAAGAAAAAGTAATTCCATGTGTAGCAAAAGGTTTCTTATGGAGTTATTTCTCCAGGGTGAGCTGCCATGTGGACTTTCTCATGCCTTTTAGGCTGGGAGCTCATGCCACAGCTGTTTCCCTGGTGGGACCATGAATAGGATCTTTCTTCTCTACTCAGAAAGGCAAGCAGCTTTCACAAAATTTCTACCAACTCATATCATTTAATCCTCGGTTTCGCTAACTGCTGCTGGATCTGGTTCAAAACTTATAGGAGAGTGAGAGAGGAACAGACACTTGCATGATCAGAGGAGTTCCATTTCTGTAGGAAACTAAGCTAGAAAAGCTGAAATCATTTAAAAATATTTTTAAGCAACTCCTCCCCGTCTCAGCCCCAGAGAGTTTGGATCACACAAAGAGAATGAGACAGCAGTCCATGACTTCTGTTAAGGGCTGCAGGCTATGCTCAAGAACAGAGTTGGGCAGAATTTAACATCTGTATCCAAAATCCACACCCAGTTGCTACTGGAAATAGCTAGGAGGATTTTAGGTGTCTCCATGTTTATGTCTAAAAGTTCCACGTTGCCTGAAAAATCAGTTTGGGTACGTGTCTAGAGCTGCTCCCGCGTGGTTCTTGCCAAAGCATAATTGGGATGCAGAAATCAGGTGTTCCTGTATACACCCCTGGAAGTGCTTAATTCAAGCTGTGTTCCCAGAACAGGGCCTAAATGCAGCCTGAACAGCCTCCCATGCTCTGCTTTCACTGCCTCATTTCTTTAAAAAATAATCAGCTGGTTTGATGAGAGCAGACTGGCCTTAGCACTCACTATCCCACCTTCCAAAGAGCCATAGATTTGCAGGTTATTCTGAGGAAAACACCCTCCTGTCCTCATTTCATCTTTCACTGTTGAAGTTTTCGTCCTGTGGAAGCAAGGAATTTGGGAATTCAGGTTTCATGAGGGCCAAGGAGGAAGGAACTGAAGGACTCCATAGCCTTGTGGCTGTATGCAGAGCAGAGGGAAGACCTTGGATCTGAGCTACATCCTACATCAGGACACCAGCTGAAATACATGATGAGCATTGGGAGTGATGGCTCCTTTCGCTTTTGAGCACTCCAGCAACTGTTAGGAAGAGTCTGAATGCAGTGGCTCTCACTGCCCTCTTTGCTCCTTCTCTCTCTCCACAAACTCTCCCTTTTCTGGCACAGCTTCAGTGGCAGAGTTCAGAAACAAAGGGGAGAGGTACAACTGTGCAGGAAGCTGGGCAGTCTGAATTTTGTCCTCAGTCAAACAGAAAAGGATCTAAAACCCAGGGCCTCCCTTTTCCAGGGACTGCTCTAGCTGCTGTGCTGCTCGGTAAAAGATGGGGCAACTTTGCCAGCTTCTCTGAGTTGTGAAGTCCTGCCGGGGAAAGGTGGATGGAGCCAGGAATGCGAGCTGGGGAAAAAGCAGGATTTAAGGAGCTCGCCTGTACTTTGTGCTATCACTGATTAGCTGAAGTGGTGGGCTGCCTAGAATGAGGCCTGTTTTGGTTTGCTTTCTCCTGTTCTCTAGGTGTTGGAGGAGAACCCTACCCAAGAGATTTCTTGTGTAGGTAGCCCAAGTGCCTAGCTCAGGGCTCTCAGCTCCACCCTGGGGTCAGGTCCACTCCACAGAGGCTTTTAGGCATTCTGTGTAGAAATCGCGGGGCTCATGAACAGGTTCTGCAAGTAGAGGTCGCAAAGCCATGCTGGGCACCCGTGTTGAACAGGAAGAGGCAAATGCCCAGTTGCCCTTCTCCCAGTGAAGGTTGGTGGGTGCATAACCACCTTCTGTCTCAGACTGTATTTCTGGGACTCATTCTGAGAAGGACTCCTGAGTCCCATGATTTATAGATACCTTAAAGTGTCCTTTTGGCCAGTGATAATCAGCTCAGTTTCTCATGAATCAGTGAGTGGCCATGCCTTACTCTGGTGAAAAAAAGCCAGGGAGCTCACACAGGCTCCAAAATTGGTCAGGGCTCAATCTGGGGAGGTATGACCATGCACACGCTACTTAGGTCAACTGATAGGCAAGGCTGCAGAAAGCCAGCTCCTAGGCCAATGGTCTCCCACATGGCCTGTGCCACTATTCCATGCTGACTCCAAACACTCATTATATGACAATGTTTGTGGTGATGTGTTTGCTCACTCCATACTCCAGGTGCAATGAAAATCTCTGTATACCGCTGTCCACACCTACTCTATCCCCTCTGTTTGCATGAGTGAAGAACCCTGTTCTTGAAGTGCATCACAGCCTTGTATTTTAACAACTTTTGAATATACATATAAAGAAGCAAATATACTTTTTTTCAGCAATTTCTGATATGTGTTCCATTTGCTATATGAGGAAGTATTCATTTCTAAAGTCTTTGGAGCATGCGGCCACTTCATGGAAGTCTTCAGCACTTCCGAATACCATGCATGATGCCAGCAGCTACATGAGGCATCAGATGAAGTCCAGGTCTTATCTCATCTAACCTTTGTGCCTGCTCTACCACAGAGAGGTGTTGAGCTAAGACACAAGCACCTCTGGAGGTCAACTCAGACATTGGAGAGCTGCCATTACCTGTGGAGATGCTTCTCTCACTCTCCTCTGGCAGTAGTGATGCCCTGGGGTAACTAATGTCCCCAACTTGCACAGCTCAGCTACAGGCTTGAGATAGATGGGGTGACCTGGAGGTAGGTGCTCGGGAGCCTCACTGACTCTTCCTCTTGCACAGCATGGATGCAAGGCTCTCTGACTAGGGTCAAGCACTTTGATGTCAGCAGTGAGCCAGAAGCCTCCAGATGTGCAACTCAAACAATTCTGCCTATAAACTCCCAGGGAAATCCAATGCCGTGCCCATGACTGATGACAGAAAACTTCTCCTGGGCTGGGGCTAAGTGCCAGTGTCTGGTGTTTTCTTTAATGCGCTGTGGAGCCTTATGTGATATGTTGCTTCTCTCTCCAGGCAGTTGTCAGAGGAGAACGCTAATCTTCAAGAATATGTCGAGAAAGAAACGGAGGAGAAGAAGAGGCTGAGCAGAACTAACGAAGAGCTCCTTTGGAAGCTGCAGACTGGAGAGGCCATGAGCCCCGTTAAACTCTCTCCAACCTCTCCTACTCCTATTTATCGCTGCTCTTCAGGGCCTCCCACCCCAGCGAAAGTCAGCACCGTGCCAAGATGACAGTGCCACCTGTGTGCTCAAGATAACCTGGCTTTTCCGTGCGTTCCCAATCTGCTGAATGTTATCATCCAAGGAAGTATCACCAACAATACGCACCAGGATTCGTTACTGCAAGCATGCTCTGTAGCTGCGTAGCTTTACACTAGGCAGTGTGCTCTTACAGTCCCAGTATAGGAGCTCCTGGTTCCAGCATGCTGATGTGTTAGGATAGCATAACAAGTCTAGTTTGATGTGTAACATTTTAACTGTGGTTAGAGCCAAAAGAAGGAAAATGCTACTATTAGTGGTTCGTCAGAATGAACTTTCGCTGCAGTATTCCAGGTTAGTTACAAACACAGTTCAAGTTGTGGATATCTCTATATGTGTGTCTGTGTTTATATACATGTATGTATTATACCTTTATACCTATATATAGACGCACACACATATATATCTAGTTGAAGATGTTCTGAATTGCATTTTTTATATTATTGGATACTATCAAGTGCTGATATATTTTCATTACAGTCAGCATTTTTCTAACTCGTGCCTAAGACTTGTATCTAAACAAAATGCATTTCTGTTTAGCCTCCCAGGAATATTTCTACCCAAACTAGAAGAAAGTTACACAGAAGTAGAAGCGCCTTCCAAATGACCACCAAGTGGTACTCTATGTAACATGAACACCAGCGACTTTGAAATTCTGAAACAGTACTGCCTTCAAAACCATCACCTTTGTATTGAACACCAGACAGGAGACACATACCATTCTCTGCTTTTTGATTCTTAGCATCAATATTGTGAGTGGATATAGGCTAGAGAAGAGAAACCTGAGGGTTTTAGTAAATTTGGTAGAGGTTACTGGTTGACGTGTTTCAATCTTAGTATTTTTAAATTTTACTTAGAGTTAATCTTGTTTAAACTTGCTGTGTTTTGGATACAATCAAAATCTCTGGCTGTAGGTTTCTGTCCATATTGATTTATTTCAAGTCCAATAAGCAAGAAGGAGAAAACAAATTGCTCGTACTTTGACCTTTGCTGGCCAAGGGATTCCCAGTGTTGGGACCAGAAATCGTAGTGCCTGCTAGGGCTCTAAATTCCTCCTGGCTGAAACACCAAGTGAAACACAGAGGACTAGTGGGAGCAAATGAGGACAGATATTTTTCCTTCCATATTTATATGTTATTTCGCATTGCTAAATTTTACCCAAAGGTACAGAGCACTTTGAAGATTCGTGGGAAAGATTTGTCAAACTACTTTTAACGTCTCTACGCGGTAGCAAAAAAAAAAAAAAAAAAAAAAGAAAGAAAAAGAACCATGCACCCGTTTCCTTCAGCTTTCCCCTCTCTCCAGGACAGTGATGCCACATGTGTGGGCTGCAGAAGGGCGCAGTGGCCTGTGCCACACGTGTCTGGCTCCAAAGGGCTGTTCCTGCGCAAATTGTAGTTTTCCCAGGGGTACAGGACCAGGGATGGGAAACAGCTGGGCCAGAATGTCAGGACACCAAGCAGAGGCTCTGGTGGAAAGAGCTAAAGGACACTTGCCAGTGCTGCAACCACCATAGGGCTGGCCACGGGTTGCGTAGGATTAGGTTAGCCTGGTGTGGACGTGGGTGCTGGAGCACAGCTCCTGGAGTTGACTCATCCACCCATAAGAGACACAAATCCCTTAGCATCATCCAAAAGGAGATCTGTAGGATTCTGTTCTATTCAGCCTGTGGCCAAGAAATTGTGTTTGTTCCTGCTTCGAGCAGAAGGATCTAAGTAAGCGAGAGACAGTACGTGCAGGAAATACGTGGGATGTGGGAGCTCTGCGAAAGAGCACGGCTCTCGGGCAAGGTGCGTGTGCTGTGGGTCCGGTGCAGAGACACAGGTCTCGTGTGAGCAGAGCTGGGGTTGCACGATGGGGCTGTAGCGCACGAGAACGGTGGTTCGGCTTTCCTGGGAAGCGCTAAGGATTCACAGGCAACAGCTTAGATAGATACAGCTTCGATCACCATCAAAGCATCTGTGACGTAAAAAAAAATGTTCTTTTTTTTCTCTTTTTTTAGAAAAGATATTTTTGTAGCAGCTCTTGCATGATACTGTGATACTGAGTAAACTGAGCATCTTGTTAGAATAGATCATGCCACACCAGCTACCACTGTTGAAATGCATTACCAGATTTAAATGTGTCCAGCAAGTACAACCTGAAAGTAGAATAGATATTTAACACACACGCATGCACACAAAGCCCTTCCTTGCCAAGTATAATTTTAATCTCTTTCATATTGCACTTGCTAAATACACAGATATTCTGCAATACCTACCGTGCTGTCAAGTCTCAGTCTGGTGCAATGTGTTCTGATACAGTAAGAGTTGTTACCATGACACTAATCTGAACTTTTCCATGTTTTTCACACTAAAACAGATTATCAGACTGGGATGGGCTGAGTCAGTCCCTTCCATTTCTTCATTATTTTCCTCTATTTCTGGTGCTTTCCTTATCCCTCTGTTGGTTGAAATGCATATGAAACAGATGCTTCCAGCAGTGCATTGGGAGTGGGGTTTCTGTGGTGGATGCACTGGTCTGATCCCAGTTGCACAATCATTTTGTATCTTTGCCAAACTCTTTTCTCTGATTTTTACTTCTCAATCCTCCCAATCAAATGTTACTGATTTCTTCCATGGGGTGGCCTCTCCGGTCCATCAGCTCGCGAACAAAGTTGTAGGAAGTTTTTTCCTGGCCAGAAGGGAGCTAGCACACCTTCCTGTGAAGGGTGTTTCCTTTTAGTGCAAATCCAGAAACACCAACTTCTTTCCAAAAAAAAAGGTCATTACTTTTTCCAACTCTTCCCCTGTCCTATCTTTCTTTGCCTCTGCGTGCAGGAGTGGGTTTGGAAAAAAAAGCCCAGTTCCCTCAGGTAGTGGGAGAAAGGGTTCAGCTCTAGTTTTAAGCAAAAGTTAGGGGTAGGAGAAGCCCCTTGGACAGTTGTGGCATGCCCAACAGGAGAACAAGTTGTTCTTGGGTGCAAAGCCCCTTTGAGTGCCCCATACTGCAGATACAGTGTAGGCTGCTGGGCCAATGAGGAGCTACGCCACTGCATGCCCCCTTGGGCAAGTGTGGCTACCGTGGTGGTGGTGTTGGTGGGCCCATCTCCGGTGCCGGTTCCCCTGACATCCCTGCTGAGAGCCTGGCGCCTGGAGGTGCCAAGGGCATCCCAGTTTGAGAGGGAGCAAGGACAAGTTTTTGCTGCCGGGGTCAGCTCCCCAAAGCGCAGGGCCTGCGTGGGTGCTTTCCTGGCTGCACAACATGGCCTTTGGCGTGAGAGGGCATTAAGGCAGCTCTGAGTGGAAAAGGGTTTTATTGCTCTTCTGTCTTTAAAAAGTAGCTGTTTGATTTGGTTAATGTTTCACTCCATTCAAAGTGAAAGGCATCTGTGACAACAAACCCAAGCTATGATTGGGGCTGAAGTTGCTTCTGGCACAGACTGTGCACACAATGAGGCCGCAGGAGGCTCTCCCAGCCTCTTCCCACCCTCCTGCTGCAGCTGGGCTTGGACCTGGCTCCCGAAACCTGCCCTGGGGTGGCAATAGCAGCCGCTGGGACCCATGAGGCCCGGGGATGGGCACTAAGCCTGCCCCCATCCCAGCACCATTGTATCTGCTGCTGCAGTGGCCACCAATGCATGGGGATGGCAGGCAGGTTACAGCCCTTCAGGTGGGCGCCCATGACCATTCAGTCTGGCCGTGCCCATCAGTCACAGCACTTAGGAGGGCAGCAGCACAGGGAAATGCTTTTCCCCGGTTATCTCCCTGAAATCGGCCACTGCAGCAGGCGGGCAGGGCCCAGGGACTGAGGCTTCGTTTGAGAGCAGGAGGGGCCCTCATGGCTCAACAGGCAACCACCCCTGCTCTGCCAGCAGCAAATCTTGCTTTGTGAGGCCAAGGAAAAGCTGGGGAGGAAAAGGGCTAATTTATGATGGGCTTCCTTGCTTGCTTCCATCCTTACAGTGCCCAGCAGGACTGGGATAGTGCCCCCAGTCTGGCCACATCTCCCAAAGTGCAGGAGCAGCAATTCCAACCAAATCCCTCCTACCCCAAGCAGAGCTACTCTAAGGAGCTGCTGCTCTACTTGCCATGGAGGCAATGCTGTCAAAACCAAACCATTTTATAAATGATGAGTAGACAGAGCCCAGGCACCACCAACATAGGTGAAGGCACGATGCAGCCTCCAGTGGGTCAACTGAGCAGGAGCTGGGCCATCTATGGGGGGGTTGGCCAGGCAGCACCTCTGTCATAAGACCCCAACTGAGACTGGCCTTCTCTAGCGATGACCCATGTTGGGAAGATGAAGTTAGTGTCCTCCACGCTTACGAACAGCACTGCCTGTGCATTATGTATGAGCTAGAGAGATCTCAGTGGGGAAGGAACAGGGGCTGGGAGACCACTGCGGGTGAGCCTGCTGCAGCAAATCCTGGTAGCTCCAGCACAAACCCTACCAGCACTGGCCCCAACCATTGCTTCTCCAGGCTGGGCTCCACAGACAAGTTCTGAACTTGCCCCACCTCCCACTGAACCCATCCAGCTCACAAAAGTCTTCCTTGGAAAGAAGGAGCCTGTGAAGTGCCTCGTGATGATCACAGTGGGCTTGCTTGCATCCTCACTCAATGTGAGCTTGGGGGTTGAGGTCTTCCCTTCTTCCTTTGAGCAGTGTCAGAGATCTTTGAATTAATAAACATGTGCATAAGTGAAATTGATAATTCAGGCCTTGCATTTCCTGCT